AGTTATTCATACCGATCGAACCATTGAAAAAATCATGATACTTGAAAAGTAAAATTTTAATTTTTTTTTATGAGGCAAATTAAAAATTTTGGATGCTGGTATCAAAGTACTGAATTTATGGGCGGATTTCTGAAATACAGTCGAAACAATAAATGGTTCATTTTTAATTTGATGTGGAAAATATTTGAATGCGATGTATGGATCTATAAATGACCTAGTAGACCCGCAGTCGCTCAAAAGCTTTATGTCATATTCGGGAAAAACTATATAGCTCAATCCTTTTGTGTTACAAGCATTGAACAATATAATTTCACTGATTCTGTCTGTTGAGTAACCTGGCTAGCTGGGAGAAAACATTTATTTTTGGGTTAGAGACATCATAGAATTCATCGTAATTATTTTCGACGTTAGGATGCAGAACTACCTGTATCATAAGTTTCATATGTTGCGTTATCATTTAACTCAGTATTATACAATTCCTTAAAGATAAAATTTTGCTGAGGTCGAGGTGTGTTCGTCGGAATTGGAGCTAATGATGGACGTGTTGTGTCTCTTGTGCTGACACTCATCGGTGTTGGCCTGGGAAGATTCCTTAGATTTGAAGAGTTTGGCTTAAAACGTTTGTATTCGAATTCTTTGCTTGTTGGTTGCCAAAGACTTCAGCGTTAGTCTTAGTTCAGATGACGCGCGTACGGCTAACGCTCGCTTTGAAAATACATAGAATTAAAACTAGCTGTTCACATGGACACGCGCATGAGAAATTTTACGCGTGTACGATGCCACAAGACGCGGAGAATCTAAATACGCGCGTCGATGTTGATTGATTGAAATACTAGACGTTCAGTTGGCGCGCGAGTTTCTTAGCATCCAGGCGACATACCAGGTGTATCTTGCAAGAAAATAATTCCTTAGGTATGGTAGTTAGTAGAATGGAAGTATGATAATTCAGCACCGACCTTTTCATTGGTGAAATTAAAAAGAGGCCAGCCATTTGGGACATGCGTTCCACGTTATACTCAAATAAGACGGCATAAAGACGCGCCTTGGAGGCCATAATTTTTTGCAAATCCGATGACACCGAAGAAAAAACGAAAATATTAGGTACGCTTGTTCGTAATGCTTTATTTATCATTGATGTTTACAATAAAGACAACAATTTAGATAATTCTATCCTTCAATTCAAGTTTCCCTTCATTCACAAAGTACTTCGTCAATTTTACTCGAACCCTATCGCCATCCTTTGTATTACGACCACTATGTTTACCGATTTAATGTTGTCAGTAGCGCTGTGTTTAGTATATCTTCAAAATTATATCCATCATTAATTCGTACGCAATTTTGTAAATACAATACTCCCTGCGAATTCTATGTTGACATCCAGCGGCCGGTGTAATACTCGCCATTTGTTACACGCAATACCAAACGTGCATTCAACATAGCTCAGTGTAACACTGAGTTTTTCTTCTGGTGAAATGCAATACCTTACTGCATTTGCATCTTCTACAATATCATCCTTAATGATGAACAGTAAATTATCAAACGATTTTATTAACATCCTAAAGTAATTGAAAAATTTAGGATTCATCGAACAGAGTCATCTCAAACGAGTCGCAACCACAGGCCGTCGAGAAAGAATCAACACAACGATCCAGGCTTAAAAAGGATCCTGGAGTGGAGACAAATAGGCTATAGAGCAAGTCGGCATAAAGTTACACCACCGGCATAGAGCTTGCATATAACTCTTAGGTGTTGACCTAAGAAGGACTAAGGAGAATACTTAAGAATGAAGATTTAACGAACAGCAGAATGTAGTTGGTGCTGCTTGAAGTTTTCCAGTGTTTTCATAATTATTTTTCTTATTGGGCGAACCACTCAGAAAGAGTTACGGAGTAACACTGTAAATCTGCTACTTGCTTCTCAGATAAAAAACCATGTAATAGGGAAATAGGGGGAGCCAAGAACATCGATGAGGTTATACAACGTAGACCGTCAATTTGCTGGAGTTGATGCTATTATAACACATCGAAAATAAAATGCGGCTTGATAGCTATGGACTAGTTCATCAAGCCGCTGAGGTTTCATCATTCCTGATCAAGAAGCTTCTGCAGTTGCAGATGTTTTGGTGAAAGATTAAGGGTATTCAAGTAACTTGAACCTTCGCTGCCTGCAGGCCTTCTGGGAAGACCACCAACGCATTGAGACGATTCACTTGGCTCCTGACGATACTCTCAGATTATCATGATAATTACTCGTTGCCTATGATATAGGCTTTTCATCATCAACAAAATAGGTCAGCGGGTGGGAATAGTAGGTATAGTCTCATGCACCTTATAGAAACGTTCAACTTGCGATATGGGAAACTATGTATCAAGCACAACAAATCTTGTTTTGCTAAATTCCGTAAAATCATGGGACGTTTAAGCTGCTCCCTTAATTACAGTACAGTACAGGAAGTCAAGTTCTAGGTCGAATATGTTCATTAGACAGTCATCATCAGACCAATGTTTCCTGTGAAACACTGGTGATAACATATTGTATATTTGAGGCGTCATTTCACTGCTATACAGCATAAAAGCGCTGCAACACTCGTCCGCCTTAAAGTACACGCCCATTGAGAGGAAGGGAAGCAGAAAGAAGAGGAACCGAAATACTCCCACGGGATTCCTGTACACACAATCAAATAACATTCCACGCACTAGAGCAACCGCACGGCACGGGTATCACGTATCGTGAAAAGTGTCATTACGCCGATTTTTTTGACATTATGTAGGTTTTTCTACAAGATGTTAACTTGGCACTAGCTGATGGATACTTTGTGAACTAGTTTTGTAGTTGTACGTGTTGCCTAAACGTCACGAGGCTTCAGTTATCAATGTTTGGCTCTAATGTAATGTAAAATCTGCTTCAAAGATGGCATTACTGGAGGTCTAAGCTGAGGCACAGTGAGGATTTGCGTGCTAATAATGTGTGTTGATGATAATTCCATTGGATTCTTGTCTCAAATACACTTACTTGAGATTCAAGGCCAGAAATTAGTTGCGGATCCACTTTTTCTTATACATTGATATGCACATTTGCTGAATTTCTAAAATGAGAGAGATGAGAAATAATTATATTCACTGTACACTGTCGAATTACAAGCCATATACATGCTAAAAGTAATTACATACAACGCGGGCGCGGTGATCATTTTCCGTAATTCTCCTCAGTTTATCGTAATTTATAACTTTGAACATAACCTCTCTCCAGACGGCACAACATAAAAATAACCCATTGGGCACAGCCAATAGATATACTTCATTGGCAGCATATTCAGTAATGATTTTCTTATACAGCAAATATCACTGATTTTATTCACATGCAGATCAATACACATAATCACCCAGATGCGATCTTGCTACTCAACCAACTTCCTTCTCAGAGATAAAAACTACAGATCACACGGCTTCACAAGACATATGCAACCAACAATGCGTGTAGCTTAGTTGTGTCGTTCCTCCATAGATGGACGTTCACAACGATCCTAGTGAGCAAACATGGAATGACTGTTTGCGCCCTAAAAACTACCTAGTCTGCAAGATAACATCTGATAGGTTTTTTTTTTGACGTTTTATAGGTTTTTTACATAATACCCGTACCGAACGGGATGCGATATGACACGTATGATGCGTGCAAATGACCTGAATGCAATCATAAAGTCTGGGCGGGCATGGAACTTGACACAGATGAAGGTCGTAACTTTGAAAGCGCATTCTCCCATCTATTATGAACACATAAAGTTACTGCAGTTCAAAAGCTCTGCTTCGGATTTTTCATATCTAATCCCAGCAATCTATGTGATAAAGGAAGGCTGGAAATATAAACGCTTATGATGCTTCTCATTGTGGCGACTGGAGTTTGCCCCCTTATAAATCCACGGGATTTATTGAATTTTGTGAGACTGGTCTGGTCTCTTCTATGGTATTCAATTTGCATAACTGCTCCATATTCTAGGATTACAACATGCATGAAACCTGTTTCTCATCAGACTATTTCTGGACTAACGCCATACCATTATAGACCTCGACATGCATATCGTGATTATAGCTAAAGGGGTGGCATATAAATATGTTTATAATGATTAAATTTTAGTGACGTTTCTAAAATTATCCAAAAGAGTATATTTCCGAACTCTTCAAACATTGCCAATATAGTAATCAATAATTTGTACTTTGTTCTACCAAGTTTCAAATAACCTCCCGCTACCCTGCTGTAAGCTTGAAAATCACAAGGTATGAGCGCTTATTTAAAACACATTTTTTATATTTCTTTCTTGTCCAATAGAAACCAAAATCACAAGTTCTAACTACTGATCAAACAAGGTATATGTGATATCAGGAGCGATTTCGCAATACATAAATGACCGGTTGAACTCACTCCACAAATGTTTGATGTAAGTCAGCAGTTGATTCCTGGTATTGGAAACTATACTGTTTGTTGATATCAAGCGTTAACTTTACTAATTACAGACCGCAGAGACAATTGTTGTATCTGTCTGATCTCAAAAAATTTTGGGATATTGAGCCGTATTCATAAAATAAAGAATATCCGTGTATATACTTGCAAAATTTGAAGGAAATCCTCCAGATGGTATTTATAATAATTTGAAGTAAATACTTATGCTTTTTGAGTATAAGCATATCCTTCAAAGCAGTGACATAAGTAAAAGGATATTCATAATATTCACCTTTTACTTGGCAGAGGAAGCATATCCTTCAAAAATTCTGAGTGTGGTCAGTAGCAAATTCAACTTCGTAACGAAAGGTGGTCAAACAATGATGACGGAAATTGTGGATGTTATGGATTTTAAAACGTACAAACTTCGTTTACCTTCAATTGGGCGTGACTTCAAAAAATTATATCGGTTCGACGAAGCAACTGTACAATTGCTTGCGGACAGGTTTTTAGTTGAGAATGAGGGAACTTGAGGAGGAGCACTTTCATGTATTCATAAAATGAAGATATCTCGGTGACCCTGGATATCAACAAGGTATTGGTCCGGAACATGGTGTTAGTCAAGCAACAGCACAGTCGAACGAATGGATAAAGTTTCCAACTACCAACCATGAACTGATGGAGGCCAAGCGGGTATGGCAAAGCATGTATAAATGTCCAACAGCAATTGGTGTAACTGATTGTACACATATAGGAATCCTGAAAGCAAATAGCCATGGAGATGAGTATATCCACCGAAAAGGGAAACCTACTTTAAATGTGCAAGCTACTTGTGATGCCAGAGAGATGTTCACAAGTGTTGATGTCAGTTGGCCTTTAGCAGTGCATGATTTCAGAATATGGAGATATTCACAGACTAGATCACAACTAATAAATAAAGCAAATGTACTACTTGGCGATGACGGTTATGGTATTGAGCCATGCCTTATGACTCCCTTCAGAAATCCTACTCCATGTGTTGCAGAAATAAATTATAATTAGCTTTTAAAACAAGAAAGAGTTATAATTGAACGCTGTTTCGGCCAACTGAAACGCCGGTTTCCTATCCTACAGTATGTTGTCGCGTAAAGTTGGAAAATGTGCCGAAAATAATTATTGCTTGTATTGAACTCCATAATGTTGCGAAGAGCTTGATCGATCCTGACTTTGAGTTAGTTGAACAAGACCCAGACGAAGATGAAGGAAATCATGAGAATGACGAACTTCCTCTCCGCCAACTAGGTCAACAAATAAGAAGAAACTTATAATAAATAGTTTTACTGATTAAAGTTTATTTATCAATTATAATAAGTTTTACGAGATCATAAGTTACATGTGGCTGACATGTCCTGACTTATTCCAGCTTGTGGTTGACATGGGATTTCGTTCACTCAGCATCACTGACAGTTGTACTCCAGAGCTTACACAGGCCGTTCCGTATTTTTACTGGATACAGTTTTTTATCAAGTTAATAAGCATGCCATCCTCAAGTGATGAGGAAACTATAGAAAGTAATGGCAACCACCTGCAGTTCATCGCAGATGAAATTGCCATTGCTCCCATTATTTTGCAAGAGTCACAAGTTCCAAAAATAGAAATGAGAAAGGCCAATGCCTTGAAGAAGATGTTGAAAAAATACAAATCAACATTCGGTAAACCATTAGATACTAAAGGCTTATTAAAAAATCAACAACATGAAATCAAGATTGAAGAAAAAAACAGATCTAAAAAAACTGGTAATAAAGCAATTAAATTGTTGTATTGGGAAAAAAAGTTGCTGAAAGCTATGGAAGGTGAGTGTAATCCTACAATTGGGAAAATTATAGGTGCCATTCAGGTTGGTAGCGTTCAAGAAGAATGAAGTGAACTATATACCGAGCGCAGTGAGCAAACAGCAAACAGCGCCAGCAATTCAGAAGTCATTGCCACCAAAAAGAAAATTAGCAACAAAGAATTACGAAACTGGGGAAACCAAAGGGTTAACTACAAAACAATTGCAACATCTAGTGCTACTACAGCAGTACCAAAGAAGGATTTTACAACAAGAGTATTATAAAACGAAATTAGAAATGATGCAGCGTCAGAAGCCACCTGTAACTTATGATGTTCACGAAAATAAAACTTATTATAACTTATAAATACATTTTAATCAGTAAAACTATTTATTATAATACTCAAGTTTCTTCTTATTTGTTGACCTAGTTGGCGGAGAGGAAGTTCGTCATTCTCATGATTTCCTGCATCTTCATCTGGGTCTTGTTCAACTTACTCAAAGTCGGGATCGCCCAAGCTCTTCGCAACATTACGGAGAACAAAACAAGCAATAATTATTTTCAGCACATTTTCCAACTTACGCGGCAAACATACTGTAGGATAGGAAACCGGCGTTTCAGTTGGAGTTGGCCGAAACAGCGTTCAATTATAACTTCTTTCTTGTTTTATTATAATTTACTCCTGCACCTGGAGTAGGATTTCTGAAGGGAGTCATAAGGCATGGCTCAGTACCATGACCATAATCGCCAAGTAGTACAACATTTGCTTTATTTATTAGTTGTGATCTAGTCTGTCTCCATATTCTGGAATCATGCACTAATCCAGGCCAACTGACATCAACACTCTTGTGACCATCTATGTGGCATCACAAGGGGGTTGCACATTCAAAGTAGATTTCTCTTTTCGGTTGGTACACTCATCTCCATGGCGATTTGGTTTCAGGATTCCTATATGTGTACAATCAATTACGCCAATTGCTGTCGGAAATTTATACATGCTTTGCCATATCCGCTTGGCCTCCATCAGTTCATGGATGGCAGTTGGAAACTTGATCCATTCGTTCGACTGTGCAACTATGCTGTTCACAACCCTATCCACAGTCCGAGATACCGTTGCTTGACTAACACTAATTTCCTGGCCAATACCTTGTTGATATCCAGGGTAATATACTTTTACATATGTCACTGCTTTGAAGGATATGCTTATACTCAAAAAGCAAAAGTATTTACTTCAAATTATTACAAATACCATCTGGAGGATTTCCTTCAAAATTTGCAAGTACCAGAATATCCTTTGTTTTATGAATACAACTCATTATGTTTTCGGATGTACAAGAAATACACATCGCAGAAATCCATGCGACTCATTTCCGTCAGTCTGTCTGTCGATGAAACCTTTCAGGCTTACTACTATAACTTCGGCAGAGCTATGAGCAAAAAACGAAAAAATATGAATCGCGTCAACTTCGTTTTTTGACGTTTTAGATACTCCTAATCATTTTCACACAAGTTTTTTGTTGCGGTTGAAAATTCGGGGGGGGGGGGGTGTAGGAGATAGGGGGCTGTAAATATTGCATCTTTGGAGTCAGAGAAAGATGCTTTGTTAATAAGAAGCCCCTGATCCCGGTAATAACAAAAAATTTTAATGGCAAAGATCAAACAAATAGTGTGTTCACATTTTGAAATAACGCACGACGGAACCTTCGACGCGGATCGAAGGCGGCATGCAAACCGGTACCTGCGTCATAATTTCACATGAAAAGAATAGCAGGTAACCAAATTCTGACATACGAAAAATTAAACACGGCCATCTGCCAAGTGGAAGCATACTTAAATTCAAGATCGGTATGTCAAGTTTCTAATGATTCAGACGATTTAAGCCCTTTGACCTCTAACCTAAAGGATCTAAACATTTGGATGCTAACTAGATATCAGCTGAGAGTCAGAATTGTTCAAGATTTCTGGGCCCGATCTAGTAAAGTATATTTTAAATGCGCAGTGAACATGCTGTGTCCGCTACCTATCGAACAGAGAACAAGTTTGCATGTTTGTGTTATATAAACAATACTTGTGTGATACTTTGAACTTTGCAAAAGCTGATAGCTTCAAGATATGTGACAATCGAGAACCATTTGGATGTTGGAAATCGTAGTGACTCTCACGTGCGTGATAACGAGAAGGAGTATCTTCAGGTAGAGTGACGCAGTCAAACAAAATTTGGTACATGTTCAAAATCTTAACTCTAACAGGACATTTTTTGTTTATTTCCAAATGTGCCAGAAACTGAGACACATAATTTGAAAACGAAGTTTGTAAACGATTTGATGCCGATGTGTGTTCTCTGCTTATTACTGATCCACCAACGAAGAAGAATCAGCTTACTTATCAGCTTATTTTAATAAAACCGGTATATGGGTTTCTAACATTCCATGTTCACAAGAATACCAAGAGACCGACAGGCAGACGTAAAATGACAAGGCTACGGAACTGAGTGGCATATACTTATGTGATGAAATGAAATTTTGACACAGAGGGCTACTATGCTAAGAACGAGAAAGCTTTGTAGGACTTAAAAATTAATTCAGTGGCGACGAAACTAGAGGAAAACCTAAATCGCTTAAACATTGTGTTTCCAGCGACATGTTATGTAGGGTTTGAAAATTGCGGGTTATTTGGTGTTGTAGGGGGTGTATGGTTGCAAATGTTGCATTTTTGGTATCAGTGTAAAACGTAATACAACTAAGCCTACTTCCTACTGGATATTCTCTCCTTTTCAAGAAATGATCTAGCATGCCAGCGGGGAAGAAGCCCTCCCCCTTCAATTTGCTTGGTCAAATCAATTGCGGTTGCACTGCGACATTTCCTTGTACTTGTACTGGCCCTTGACTATAAAACTATTAAATTGTTGAAAATTTTCAATTTTGAAAAATACTATGAAAGCACGTTGGCACTAAAAACACTAAAATCTTGAGACGAATCATTTGAAGTCAACAATGCCTACTGCATTCACCCGGACGTAATGTCGGTCTGCTTTGAAACACGTTATCCTAGGTTTAGATGCATTCCACGTTTACTGACGTACTTTGAAGGTGTACTGCGTATCTCACATGATATTAGCTATATTTAGCCGATCGGCAGTAAAAGAAGAACCGTTAGTTTATAATCTGTATTTGCGATAAATCATCATCGGCGTCGGCGAACATGATCGCAACGATCAGAGAAATATCCCAGGAATTCCTCCTCCGAAATAACATGTGCCGTGGCTTGATAGCAGGATACACCCGCATACTACCTGCCATACATATACACAAGTATTTATAGACTGCTTATGGATTTTATAATAAATTGGCGGTTAATACAAAAATAATGTTAAACAGGTTCCAACCACCCTAAAGATATGATTTTATTGAACTGAGACATTGTCAAAAAATACCACAACCCCAAATATAATCACCCACTAGCATTGGAAATAGACAACAATCCGGAACTATCAAGCTTTATCTGTCTAAATAATAAAAGTACATCGTCTTTTCTTTACTGCTGACTAATAATAGTATGTGGTTTAAAAGCTACCCTTCTCATTTCGAAGCTTTAAAATCATATACAAATGTTATGCTTCCTTACTATCACACTAAAATAGTGTGAAGTTCATTTGGTCTTGTCAGTTTCACCAAACAAGATGTATGTTATTTGATAATGATATGATGAATAGTTAAAGATTAGACATATTTCCTCTATTAACCGTACTACATGTATACGACAAGACACCATCATTGACAATCAACTGCTACGACTCATTAAGGCATTCAATACAGTTTCTCAAAATTGTGAACGTAACTCGATAAAATCAAACGTCTAAGAAAGGGAATCAAGCTTTTAGTGGCACAACGGGTCAATTCTGGAGCTTAATAGGCCGGGGAATAATCACAAATTCAAACAGCTGTTGACATTTATCAAACAAGTTTGTAAATGCGTCTCTTTCCGGCAAAGTAATATGTTCCTAGGTTCGTCATGTCATTAAACGTTACATCCCAAAATTAACCTCGTCTTTAGTGATGAGACTGTTGAACGGCGAGATTTCCGTACCTTTTCTCCCAAGACTGACTTGGGAGCGACTTTTCTATCAGAGTTCAGGAATGCATTTTTCCAAGTGGCAAGA